AATTTGTATGTTGAAGCCCTAACTCCCAGTACCTCAGAATGTGACTATATTTGGAGATATATGATTAAATTAAAATGAGGCCATTAGGGTTGGCTGAATCGGGTATCCTTATCAGACAAGAAAATTTGAACATATACAAATTGACACCAGGGGTGTGCCCATGCAAAGACCATGTGAGGACACAGGGCAGCTATCTGCAAGTGAAAGAGAGAGGCTCGAGAAGAAACCAAACCTGCTGACACCTTAATCTTAGCCTTCCAACGTCCAGAACTATGAAAAAATAAATTTCTGTTACTTAAGCCATGGTATTTTGTTATGGCAGCCCTACCAAACAAATACAGCCCATAATGTGCTCCCATGGATAATCCTCCATGTCCTCCCTTTCTGGCTGGCTGCAATGGAGATGACCATCCCTCCAACCCCCAGACAAAGTTGGAAGCCATGAGCCGAAAATGGCAAAGTTACTAGCTGGAAAGAGTGCTTGAAGGAAAACCATCCAACCAGGAACACCCACGTTGTTCAATTACATGAGTGAAAAATAAAATTTTATTTTATTCTGAAATGTAGGGGTTTGTTAGTTACAGCAGTATGCCTTACGCTCAGCTAGTACACCCCACAAGGCTGATGATTCCCTTTTTCCTCCTCAGTTCTCTCCTTAACTCACTGTTGGCAGGGGGTGGTATGCACTTTTCACCTCTTAACAAGCCCTGTGGGAATATGGCTGGCTTCTATTACATTACTGGCTTTCAAAGTAGGATATTTAGTGCCTCTTGTCCATAATTTGAGGCCTTAACCACAACTCTGGGACACAGTGAATTTTCCACTCAATATCCTCTAACATATTTTAAAAATAAATTGCTTCAGGTAGAAGAACTACAAAACTGACAAATATATTAATAATAAAAATATACCCAAATCATGTGTCAATCAAGTGAGAGAATTTCCATTATTTAAGAGAAAATGAGGAAACTGTTATTTTAAAAAAAACCCTACTCTGATTACTCTGTCATAAAGAACTCCATATAACTGTCCTATCTTTCAAGACTGGAATATGGAGATCCCGGTCCGGCCATAGGCATATTGTTAAGGACTGTGAGCTCAATAAGTAAGATTTTTTCTATCATCTTCTACCCATGCTTCTTAGAATTAATAGACAAGTGGGAATAATAAGGCTACAGATTACTTTTTATATAAAAAATCCATTTATGTATGTATTTGTGTAATGAATATCATGCTTGTTGCCTGATCTCTGCCTCTGAAAAAAAAAGACCCAATTATCATATCTTTAAACTAATATATGAGATATCTTTGAAGAAATTATAATAAAATTCAGACACCTTGTCTTACATTATAGTTAGAGATTAGGATAAATCAAAAATTGTGTGCATACTCATCTGACATCAAAGGAAAACTGGCTCTGTGAGGCAGTAAACATGGAGTGACAGCTGAACATGTGAACATCTCCAAGAAAACAAAGATTGGGAGTAACCAATGGACAATGACCCAATATCACCAACCAAAGCCATCACTAGACACTTAACATGGGATAATCCACTTTCAGTGGCCCTGGGAATGGGCAGGGAGACATCCTTACATCTGATAGTAGGGTGACATCCTGACATTTCTATAAGGAGAGTTACAATATGTCTCAGTTTGCCCTGGATGGGCCCAGCTTACAGTTATAAAAACTGTGCTTATTTAGATAATAAATTTTATGAACATTCTATTCACTGCGTAAGTATACATATTGAGAGAAGGGACAGAAGAAAGAGCTTCTTGGAAAATGTTAAGAAAAGTTTTCATTAAAACTATATCCCCCCAGTCCTAGAAGAACTCTGTCCTCTCTTTCATGTGGTTCTTTCTAAGGTTAGTTGTATTCGTCTGCTCATGCCGCCATAACAAAATACCAGACTGGGAAGCATAATTAACAGACATTTATTTCTCACTCTTGTGGAGGCTAGACCTCCTAAACCAAGGTCCAGCACAGTCAGTTTCTGGTGAGAGCTGTCTGCAAGTCTTCTCCCTGTGTCTTCACATAGCCTCTTTTCAATGCATGTGCAGTGAAGGAGAGAGAGAAATATCTCTCTCTCTTCCTCTTCTTTTAGATCACCAATCCTATTGGATTAGAACCTCACCTTTAAGACCTCATTTGAGCTTAATTACTTTCAAAAGCCCTGTTCCAGACAGTCACCTCAGGGGTTAGGACTTCAACATGTGAATTTGAGGGAAACATAATCCAGTCCACAGCAGTGGTTGTGGTTTTTGAGGGGCTCTTGTGGATTTTTTTCTTATTATAGTACTACAGCTTAAGTGGAAAAGTCGGGGTTGTATTTAGATTTTTTTTCTTATTTGCTTCTTAGCAGCTGCCACAGCATTTGACCAGCCAAGATCAAAGAAAGCCAGAATTGTAAGCAAGAGTCTTTATTTATGTTAGTGATGTGTTGTTATACACCAACAAATCTGATCATCAGAATCCAGAGCTGAGAGATAGAGGTCTTTACATTGTAAAGAGTGACTGGATGAGTGAGTTTATGTGTTCAACCCAGTTCCGTCAGAAAAACAAGAATGGACTTACTGGGGTGTGCATTGGTTCATTAAGAGGTAGTAAAATAAAGTAAGATACAGTGTAACATATGCTTACTTTTCACCTTAGGGCAGGTTACAATTAATTGATAATTGGATAAGTCCATTTGCTTTAGAAAATTATTACTTATATTGAACAATTACTTATGAACCATAAGATAAGACAATATGTGTTGTCTTCAGTGTTTTTCCTCTCTTCATAAAGCAAATCCTCTTCCTTATGTACCTTGTTTCTGAGGTTACTTCTCAATTTTACCCTAATTGCCTTGAGACAGTCATTTCCAACCAACTCCAATAAAGAAAATGATCACAGTAATAAACCAAAATTACAGCTTGAAGACTATGAAAATACAAATACTGAGTTTCAAGGGCAAACTAAGAAGAACAGAAGTCTATCTTTTCTGGTAGAAAAAAAGGAACCTCTTGTACAGATGGGAGATATAATTTAAATGAAATCATTAAATGTACAGGAGCTCCAGAGAGTAGCAAAATTCTATACTTTGCATTTTTAGATTGGACAAATAC